TATATCCCCAAATCTAAGGGATGATTGACTTGAATCCTTGTTTCAAATTCATTGTTGCTCAATATCGGGAAATTTCATTTTCATTTGGTTCTTTTCTTTTTTCTTTTTCTTTTTTTTTTTTTTTGTTGATTTTTCATGCAAATATCTTATATATTTTAGAAGAAAGATAAGATCAAGGATCGACGATAAATTATCATGGATAAATATTTGCTTCCATATAAGAATGATACTTTTTTTATCCAAGTTTTATGTTATTGGCAATTATTAAACGATTGAGTATAGATTATAAATGAATCGATCCAATTTTTCAATGATCCTCTTGATAAGATTATTATATCATTTTTAATGAATTAAAATCGAATATTGTTTATTTAATTTGAGAGAGAAAATCCTATGAAAACATCTTCGAATTATCAATCAACCAAAATTCCATTATACGGGAGTTAATTAAAAAACGTACACCCATCCAAGTACTGATCGCGGCCAATGTAACTTGACTTTGATTATCGAATGGATAACCATCTATCGCACATGACAAAATCGTCATGTCTCTATTTCTTTATTTATTTCTGTATTTATTTAGATGAATTAGAAATACATTACAGAATTATCATTTAAAATATCCAGACACATCCAAAATCGAACTTACTTCGTATTATAAAAATTTAAATTCTAAATTTTACTACGACAAGAATATTCTTCTGAAAAGAATCTTATTAATAAACTGTCACAGTTGCATTATCTCTTTCAATTTCACTTTTCACGAGCAACACGTAACACGTTGATTCCAAACAGCCGGCAAAGCATCGCCTCATTTGGTAGCTAAATTCGTTTGCTCGTAATGGGGCATCAATTACACGCTGATGCACAACGCTCAGGGTGCGTTCACGCATGGAGCAAGAGAGAGAGGAAAGGACGGTTACGCAATGTGAAAGTCGTCGACGTTGGAATTCATTCTTACTTCCCAGCTTGCCCTGACCTCCGAGATAATGAGAGTGATCTGAATAATCTGGTTCGGTATGTATTTGGCAATGTGTTGGCCGGCCTAATGAGTATCGGTGTGGTACCCTCGATTTCTTTTTCATTTCTCGCAACGAGAATGATTAGCATACGGCTCTCCTTGCGTAATTCTGGCCCAACGTAATTGGTTACTTACTTTGTATACACACACGTGCGTGGGTACGCACCAGATTAAGAGATTATTATCTATAGATCAGAGTTTCTCAACTTATTGCCGTGTTGAAGAGAGAATAATAAATATGGTCTGATTTGGATTTGGCTAACGACCTAAAAAACTCCATTTTGAAATAAAGAAAATATTCTATCGTTTACATTAAATTGATCTTTGCAATTCGATGTATGGATCATTTTTGATCCGCTTGATAATCTCTAACTCTCTTCTCTCACCTAACATTTGTACAAATATAAATCTTCACTTTGAAAGGTGTTACAAATCACAAACCATAAATCGTCTTCTGCATCCAATTCTACTTACACGGAATTCAATATTTGTAAAATGTGTCCTATTAATTATTCTTCATCATTTTATTTTTACATGTAACTTATCTTCATGTTGTCATTCGATTTTGAATTAAAAAAATAAGAATCGTTCCATTATTCAAATATCCAAAGTATTTTAAATTATTGAAAATATTCAGATCACGATTACTAATTAACTATGTTGGGTCACGTGGTAAAATAATTGAGAAACGCTGTTCTAGATGGCGTTACACGTTGCGTGTCCTCATTGTATCGCGGAGAAAAGAAAGCTATGCGAATTTTTTTTCTTCTTTTCGACGAGAATGTGGATGAAGATAATTGATCTTTTGATTGACTGGTCGACGAGGACAATTTATTTCAAGCAATTTTGCGTCCAATATTATACTGTTTCGTAATATACTGTTAGGGAATTGGATTGAGGGAAAAAGAAAAAAAAAAGAATACGCGTAATTTTTAAAAATGGAACGTGTAATCCCACTTTTAATGATCACCTGTGTTTCCTAATAGCCTTTATATATCGGCAATGAGAAGAATTAAGAAATAACCATCGATTTTTTTGTTAACAAGTTTGAAAAAAAATAAAATTCGTGATCTCTGCCAATGATCTGATTTTAACGATCAACGTTTTATCCTCGATTTCATAACATCGGCTCTAATTTCCATACAACCGTGTTTCCTCCTCTCTGAAACGTAAAAATTGAAGAGAAAAAAGAAGAATCACAAGTGACTCGGTTGGTCCACGAAGCCGAAACACCACCACGTAGAAGAGCCACGACTCCATTGTTCACGGGACACAGGTTAATCGAATATTAATGACGAAACAGTACCAGCCAACTGTAATAGAATGAACTCCAACGGTGATGCATTAATGTATATCATCATGTACTCTCGTTTCTTCTGTCTGTGATGTGATCGTGTGTTTGGCGAGTAACGGGCCATGGCGTGAAATATATCTCGGATACGTTTGGAGTTGGGGCCAATGTTTGATTTGCAATCGAAGAAACAATTTTTTTTATTACAAAGAGAAGTCATCGAAACACGTTGATCTTCGTTGAAGTAGAAGATAATTCAAGAAATTTTTATTATTATATTATATAAAGAAATATTTTAATCGTAATTAATGATAATTATTCATAAAAATATCTTTAATTGTGTAATTGTATAATGTAATGTAATTTTAATGTAAATTCATCAAAATTTAACGAGTCTGTTCAACGACTCGATGTAATTTAATTAAAAGTGTATAACTGTAATCCCATCAAATTGAAATTCAGATATTTCTTTCTTCCTGCTATCTCAAAAATATATATACATTCAGAATAAAATTTAAATTTACATTATCATCTTCCATAAATATTTATCCACGATTCTTATTATTTGGAAAAGAAATAAAATTGAAAATTATTCATATAATTTTCTTGATAATCCCAATTTTATTAATATGGACTACGTATTTATTAAGGCTGACCATTAACCTGTCAAATTACATTTCATTCTTACAACTTATTATTCGTGTGCAATGATTATTTATCAAATCCCAATTATCAAGCGATATTTAAAAATTTCTCTTCGAATTTTTTTTTTACTATTTCAATCGACATGGACTCGGTAATTAATGGAAGAAAAATCATTCCATTATATCGGGGAAGGAAAAATGGGCGCCATCATATCGCAAGGCGCTTCCAAAGCTTAAATTAATAATTTATCGACGATTTGGAGGATATACGCGCGATTCTTCCCATAATTTATAGCCGAATGTAAAAACATCGGCCGGTTGTCCCGACTTCACGTACAATGGGGGCGTATAAATCGCTGAATCGATTTGCAAGCGGTTTACATCGTATTTCCGCCATCTTGAATTGATTTACAGCTAGTACTAATGCGCGAGTTCCCAATGATTGTTGTTGCCGTCCTTTCCTCGAAACGTCCTTTCCACGAATGTATTTTAACGTGGGTGTTTTATCGCCGATACAACACGTCCGGTTTTATGAGCAACGACGGAATTTATCGTCGATCGAGGCTCGCTCGCCAGGCTAGATTAAATTACAATCTCGTCCACTACCACCCCCTC